CCATTTCCTTTTCCAGTTCATTTGACAGATGAGGACATTGAGGCAATCAGGGTTAAATGACTTGCCCAGAGTCACACAGCTAGTAAGTGTCTGAGGCCAGATTTGAACTGAGGATGATGAGTCTATCCATTGTGCTTCCCAGTGCTAGATATACAGACAATAAAATTGGAAGGAGCATGAACTGGTAATGTAAAAGTATTGGGCTAAGAATTTTGAAGAATATAAAACATAAAAGGACAGTGAACAACAATAAAAAAAAACACCTTCATATGCATGTAAGTTTTACAAAGGTCTCTTCATAAGAATCCTATGAGATAAATAGATTATTATCCCCATTTAAAAGATGAAAATAAATGAGGCTCAGACAACTTAAACGACTTGCCTAGGCAGCTACTAAGTGATTGAGCTGGGCAATTTATGATAAATATCTGTAACCAGGGGTTCAAAAACCATTTTTATAAGACTCTTTCATTGGTGGAGATAGATTACTCAATGCTTTCATCCCTGGGTAAGAGATTGGGAGAAGAGAGATCTTAGTAAAGCTTTAAGAGAGAAGATAGCAGGTTCTACATTCTATTCAGGGAAAGATTCCCAAAGCGAGAGAAAGTCTCTGGAAAAAAGGTGACATTTAGAAAAGCCAGCACCTCACTCATGTCATTAATCCTAGTTTACCATACTAGATAGAAACTTTAGGAAATTTCCCCTTGGGAGAGATCTGGGACTTTCTCTCTTTCTCTCTTGAGCTGGGATATCTGGCTTCTAGTGGAAGAGATCATTCCATGTATTGTCTGATAGCTTCTCATCTGTGTAATTTCCCTGATTTCTGTTTGCCATCAATTTGGATAAGTGGGTTTATTTACTATTTTGTTGGGTATGGTTTTTGTATAACTGGCATTTAGTGGGAAATGAGTCAAATCTTGGATATATAGCTTGGGACATTCCTTCCTCATGAAGAATAACAATCAGGAGTGCAGCTTGAACCTAAACAATTATTTCTCCTAGCGTAACAATATTTAGGGGAAGGCAGATATAATTCTAGCCTAATACCACTGTCTGAGGAGAGCAGAGTGGCTGGTCTAGTGGCCCCAATCTCCTGCTCCCCTCCTAGAAAGAACCGAAATCTCCCTTGGAGAATGGTGGGCAGAAGACACTGTAGAGATATCTATCCGTGCCTCCTTTCTAACCACATCTAGACAGACTCATGTGAACAAACATAACCAGGCATGTGCTGGTAAATGTTTAATAACTGATTCTCTTGAAAAAAAAAGGCATGCAAAACATGTTTTAAAGTTTGATCTACATTACCCTTTATCACTTTCTTATATCTAGGCAATCAACAAAATAAGAAATGCTTTCCTTTCCTTTCCTTCCTTCCTTTCCTTTCCTTCCTTCCTTCCTTCCTTCCTTCCTCCTTCCTTCCTTCCTTCCTTCCTTCCTTCCCTCCTTCCTTCCTTCCTTCCTCCTTCCTTCCTCCTCCTTCCTTCCTTCCTTCCTTCCTTCCTTCCTTCCTTCCTTCCTTCTTCCTTCCTTCCTTCCTTCCCTTCCCTCCTTCCCTTCCCTCCTTCCCTCCTTCCTTCCCTCCTCTTCCTTCCTTCCTTCCTTCCTTCCTTCCTTCCTTCCTTCCTTCCTTCCTTCCTTCCTTCCTTCCTTCCTTCCTTCCCTCCTTCCTTCCTTCCCTCCTTCCTTCCTTCCTTCCTTCTTTCCAAATTAAGAGGAACTTTGAATAGATTTGGCCTATAACTTAACTTTTTCATAGAATTATATTACTTTCAAAATGTGACACATCAATTGAATAATCACTTCCTTTTCTTTTTTTGGTCACCAAACCACTGAACTAAGTAGCATTTTGGGGGAGCTCCACAGCTAAGGGACAAGGCCAACCTAAGAAATCCTTAAAATCCAATTTCTCATGGTTCAGTAGAGCAAAGTGAACCTCACTTGATGAGTCACATACTTAAGCAAACTCAAATGCACCCTATCCAACACTTCCCCTCAAGGTTTTGATTTAAGGGCTCTCTACCTAAGAGCTTCATGCTCCAGGGACCATGTTGTCAGGAATGGAAAATCACGAGTAATCAAGAACTTCGTTCCCAGGTGAAAGACAGTAAAGTTAAAGACTTGGGTGTTGACTAAAACCTCGATATGGACCACTCAGAGTAAAGATTCAGTTATACTTTTGTCTCCCTTGCTTATAACATGTTCTCTAGTGCTTCCCTCAAACTGTGGCATTCTTAAGTGAGGGAAATCTTTATCAAATACACTTGAAATTACAGAATTGTAACAGATTAGAGTATTTTATGTATTGAGATAAAGCACTCAAATGCTTTGTTTAGGAGGATTTAAGAGGAAGTTGTTTTGGTCTTCCTTGTCAAATTAGAAATAAGACAGATGACTGATGGAGTGAAAGTGAAGGAAATACTGTAGAGAATTGAGAAAGCCAATGGGTTGAAATTCACAGGACCTCAGAAATAGATGGGACCTCTGAGGTCCAAACTCCACCTCCAACAGGAACCTAATTTGTGACGTCTCCACAATAATTAACCATTAAACCTTTGCTTTGGAGTCTCATCTTCTTATCCTAGAAATGTCAAAAGATCTAGAGGGAGGGTCCCCAGAATCTTGACTAGAAGCCCTGTGAAGGGTTTATGAGATGATGTTGTCAAGAGTGGCACAGAATGAGAAGACAGGGATGGATTTTGGGCTGCACTGTTGAAGGGAGTGCCTGCACCAATGAGAGCCAGTTTAGTCAAAATATTGGATGGAACTGGTAGAATCCTTAGGAAGAGATCTGCTCTTCTTGTACAAGTCACTTATTCTCTTTGAGCCTGTTTCCTTATCTGTAAAATGATAGAACTAGACTATCTCTAAAGTCCCTTCTAAGATTTTATGGTTCTTTGATTCCTACTGCTGGCTTTGCTATTAACCATGCTACTTGTCTCCAGTGGCAAATTCCAGGCAAAATGGACCACTCACTGTGTCCCTTTATACATCTCATGCTTTGCTACTTCCATACCTTTGCTCAAGCTGGTTTTTTTATGCCTAAATTATTTCCCCATTGCTCTGCTTATTGATTTCCTAGCCTTCTTTTAAAGCCTACCTTCTAATACTACCTTCTTCAGGAAGCTTTCCCTATTCCCCCCCCATCAGTTATGATGTTTTTCCACTTATACTTTCTGATGTATTTATCCTATATTACTTTGCATTGTTATCATTTTTGTATGTGTCATATCCCTCTACAAGAATATAGGGGCAGACATCTGTAGTCATATGAAAAAATGCTCTAAATCATTATTGATTAGAGAAATGCAAATCAAAAACAACTCTAATGTAATGCATCATACCTATCAGATTAGCCAACATAACAAAACAGGAAAATGATAAATGTTGGAGTAGATGTGGGAAAATCGGAACACTAATGCATTGTTGGTGGAGTTGTGAAATGATCCAACCATTTTGGAGAACAATTTGCCACTATGCCCAAAGGGCTATAAAAATATGCATACCCTTTGACCCAGCAATAGCGCTTCTAGGTCTGTATCCCAAAGAGATCACACAAATGGGAAAAGGACCCACAGGTACAAAAATATTCATAGCAGCTCTTTTTGTGGTGGCAAAGAATTGGAAATTGAGAGGATGCCCATCAATATATGAATATAATGGAATACTATTGTGCTATAAGAAATGATGAACAGGCTGACTTCAGAAAAACCTGGAAAGACTTGTATGGTCTGATGCTGAGTGAAATGAGAAGAACCAAGAGAACATTGTACACAATAACAGCCATGTTGTGCGATGACTAATATTGATAAACTTAACCCTTCCCAGCAATACAAGAATCTAAGACATCTCCAGAGACCTTGTGATGGAAAATGCTATCCACATCCAAAGAAAGAAATATGAAAGTTGAATTGCTATTTTTTTCTCTTCTATTGAGTTTTATTTCCTCTTTCTGATGGTTCCTCCTATTGGTTTTAATTTTTACTTACAATACCAATGATGTGAAAATATGTTTAATAGGAATGTAAATATATATCCTATATCAGATTGTGTGCTGTCTTGGGGAGCGTGGTGAGGAGGAAAAGGGAGAAAAATTTTAAACTTAAAAGCATATAGAAGTGATTATTGATAAATCAAAATAAATTAATAAAATTTTAAAAAAAGAAAAAAAAGAACATGGGGCAGAGAACCATCCTTATATAATCTTTGGATTGTAGAGGATTAGTAATGAAGCAGACTACCCACCTCCTGACAAAAAGGCACAAAGTGAAGAATGAAACATACATTTTTAGTTATAGTCAATCCAGGAATTAGTTTTGCTTGACCATGCATATTTGTTACAAGGGTTTTGTTTTTCTTTTCTTTTCTTTTCCTTTCTTTTCCTTTTCTTTTCTTTTCTTTCTTTCTTTTGTTCATTGTCACTGAGGGGATACAGGAAACAGAGAAAATAAATTTTTGTTAATTAAAAAAGAAATTAAAAAAATAAACATTTCTTCAATTTAATTAAATTTTCTTTGACCTGCCCATGCAGAAGTACTATTTAAAGGTATTAGTTAGCTAATTAATCTTACTATCTTGTTAACTTCTTTGCCATACTGTGGTTTATCTGTGAAAACAGAACAAAAAATATATCCTCTGGTGTCAATTATAGGAGGGTGTATTTACTGTTTCCAAGGGTTAGTTAAAGCTCGGTGTTTTTTTTTTAAACAATTGAACAAAACACAAAGCCCCAGAGGGAAATGTATATGCTTATAAAGAAAATTAAATGCTTTCTTTTGCTCCTGTCAAATTCCAGTGCAGTAAAAATGCTCGCTCACTCAGATCTTGGCAACAATATGCTGCCTGTTTATTGCTGAGCTACAGCAAAGGTTTAAATAAGTGTATACACACACACACACACACACACACACACACACACACACACACACACACTCGCTCACAAGCACACACCAGTGATCTTTGCCCTTAGGAGACAGACCTTGAAAGTTCTGAAACCTCTTACACTCACTCACTCACTTGGGCATATTCTTGCCTGTGCTTTTTCTTCCTCCTCCTTCTCCCTCTCTCTCTCCCTCCCTGTTCTTACCACTCTCATTTAAAGGCAGCAGCGGAGGGAGGACAGCTGGGCACTGTTCTGTGCCAAGCTTTAGAGTCATGTCTTTCTTCCTGACTCCAATCTTGATAGCATTTATCTTGGTCTTGCTCGGGTGGATCTTTAAAAATGAACACCCTGGCAAGAAAACAGACGATCAGTCTAAAACCAAGCCAGAGTACCAGCCGTGGGTAGATGAAGACTTAAAAGACAGCGCAGAGGACCACCAAACAGAAGGTAAAGAAAACAGGAACATTGATTAGCTTTAGCATTTAGCAGTTTTAATCATATTGATCTAGGATGATGACACAAATTAATAGACATTAATTAGTTTTCTTTCTTGTTCAAATGAATTTCAAGCAATTGTTTTATTGTAGTCAAAGGACCTAGGTCGGACTCCTAGCACTGCTGTTTGTTTGATTTGGGTTATTGTTCAATCATTTTGGCTGTGTCTGACTCTCTGTGACCCCATTTTGGGTGTTTTCTTGGCAAAGATGCCAGACTGGTTTGACATTTCCTTCTCTAGCTTGTTTTACAGATGAGAAACTGAAACAAACAGGGTTAAGTGAACTGCCTTGGATCACACAGCTAGTAAGTATCTGTGACCAATTTTGAACTCAAGAAGATGAATCTTCTTGATTCCAAGCCCAGAACTCTACCCACTGCACTGCCTAGCTGCCCTCAACTTTGGCCAAGTCAATTAACTTTACTAGGACTGTTTCTTCACCTGTAGGGTGAGGGAGGAGTAGAAGAGGGGAGCAACATGATCAGATCTAAGTTTTAGTAATGTCAATTTGTAGGGAATGGATTGGAGAGAGGAGAGCGTAGCCATAGGGTGTACAATTAGGATGTATTGGAGAAAGACAATCAGCGCCTGAACTAGGGTGGCGTCTGCATAAATGAAGAGGAGGGGGATGAGAGGAAGAATCAATACAACTCAGCATCTTATTGGATGTGGAGGCATGAGTGAGAATCGAGATCTCTAAGGTTTCTTCCAGATGTACACCTAAAATCTAAGATCATGTACAGTCAGAATAGACCATGTGTATCAATAGGTTTGTTCTTCCTATAAACAGATGTCTCTATTCCTGCTGGTTCTACTTCTCCTCCCCCTAATAGGCCCTTTAGTTGGGAAGGAGATATAATTGAGGAGAAAGTATGATAAGTTCAGACTTGTTGAGTTTGGAGTAGTTAACAGTCAATTTACAAGTCTTTATTTAAGCACCTACTATGTGTCCATCACTGTACAAGGGATACAAATACAAGCGTGAGGCAGTCTTTTCACTCAAGGAGCTTAAATTCTCCTAGATGGATGCAACATGGCTTCAAATGCATTAAAAGGGCATATTACAGAATTACTATAAAGTGGTTTTGGGAAGTGGAGAGTGTTAAGGCTGGAGAGGGGGGATCAGAAACAACTTCTTGAAGGAAATGAGACTTGAACTGAGCCTTGAAGGGAAGTAGGTCTTTCAAGAGGGAGAGGTATGAAGAGAAACAGTAAAAAGGTATAGGGGAAGGAGATGGGATATTGTATATCCTAGCAAAGAGCAAAGAGACCAATTTAACTAGAAGGTAAAGTCCATGAGTAGAGCAGCTGGGTGGCTTAGTGGATAGAGTGCTGGGCCTGAAGTCAGGAAAACTCTTGTTCCTGAGTTCAAATCTGGCTTCAGACACTTATTGCCTGTGTGACCCTGGGCAAGTCACTTAGCCTTGTTTGCCTCAGTTTCCTCATCAAAATGAGCTGGAGAAGGAAATTGCAAACCACTCCTGTTCTTTGCCAAGAAAACTCCAAATGGAGTCACGAAGAAACAGACGTGACTGAAAAAAGATTGAACAACCAAAATAAGTGAATATGAGTAATGTCCTGGGAAGCCAGATTGGAAAAATTTGGCATTCAAATGCCAAACAGAAGAATTTGTATTTTATCCAGGAGGCAGTAGGAAAACACTGAAAGAGGAGAGTGACATGACATGATCTGAGTTTTAGTAATGTCAATTTGTAGGGAATGGGTTGAAGAGAGAAGAGACTAGATGTAGGTTGTACGATTAGGATGCATTGGAGAAAGATAATCAGAGCCTGAACTAGGGTGGTGTCTGTATAAATGGAGAGGAGGGGGATGAGAGGAAGAATTAATAAGACTATTGGATGTAGAGGCATAAGTGAGAATCAAGAGTATAAGATGACTCCTGGGCTGTGAACCAGGGTAACTGGAAGAATGAGATATATAAGTATATGTGCCCTGAAGGTAGTCGAAATTTTGGATTAGAGAACAGGTGAGAGGATAGGACTAGAGGATATGACAGAGGGTGGAGGATAGAGAATAGGACTTTCTCTCAAAAGTCCCTGTTCTTAGCTCTCTTTTCTCTTATCCCTATGTTCTCTCCCCTGGTGATCTGGTCCATGTCCCTGGTTTCAATGGTCTTTTGTATACAACTCCCAAATCTATGTATCCTCCTCTTTTGTTGTTGTTTGGTCATTTCAGTTGTGTCTGACTCTTTGTGACCCCATTTGGAGTTTTCTTGGCAAAGATACCAGACTGGTTTGCCATTTCCTTCTCTAGCTCATTTTACAGATGAGAAAACTGAGGCAAACAGGGTTAAGTGACTTCTCTAAGGTCACACAGCTACTAAATATCTGATGCCAAATTTGAATTGACGGAGATGAATATTCTTGACTCCAGGCTCGGCACTCTATCCACTGAAACCGCCTAACTATGATCTTCCTCTTTTCTTTCCCTGCATGTCAGTCCCACATTTAAAACTTCTTATTGGTTATTTGCATGTTGATATCCTATTAGCATTGCAAACTCAGCATATGTAAAACTGAACTCATTTTCTCCAATAAACCTGTGCCTCTTCCAAATTCTCCAGTTTCTGTTGAAGGTCCAGATCACTCGGACTCAGAATCACAGTCATCTTTGACTCTTACCTCTCCCTTACCACCCTTACCACCAATGTGTTCCTAACTCCACACTTTCTTCACGTCCCTCCCCACTTCTTCACCATGTTAGTTTAAGCCTTTGTTACCTCTTGCCTGTTTGTCATAGTCTTTTATTCTCTTTCTCTTCAGTCTCTTCTCTCCCCTAATCCACTCTTGACACAGCTCCCCAATTTAGCTCCTACCTGGAGGTCTCTTTGAGGTGCATAGGTGTTTGGAGGGTCCTATCAAGCAGGAAAGACTTTGGATACCAGTTCAATGAAAGACTCCAAGTCTTTTTTCCAAAAAAATTAGTCCAGCTAAGTTCATCACCAGGTTGATTTTTACTAAACTGTGGAAGGATGGTGATATTCCTAGGTGGTAGGAGTACACAAATCAGTGCAAGTATGTAGTGAATTTTTTTTATGTAGTGAAGCCTAAATAAAGAGCAGATCTGACCATGTCATGTGTCTTTGCAAAAACCTTCAGTGGCTCCCTATTGCCTTGAGAACAAAATATAAACTTTTTATCCTTGCATTCATGACTTTATACATTATGGCTCCCAACAGCACTGTGTACATTACAGTATGTTCCAGTCAAATGGGACTAGTTTCCTGTTCTCTTCCTTAATTATCCTTTCCCAGTCTAGCTACGTATCTACTTTTCCAGTCTGATTTCACACCACTCATCTTCACACACTCTGCGCTGCGGATAAGCTTGTGTTCTTGCTCTTCCTTACCCATTACACTCTTCTGTCTTTGTACCTGTGCACAGGCTCCCCTTCATGCCTGGGATTCATTCCCTCCTCACCACTGCCTCTTGGAATACCTAGCTTCCTATCCAGATCAGTTTAAATACTACGTCCTAAATGGTGTCTCTCTCCTCCTAAAAATGTATCTTGTATCTTATACCACGTGAACTCAAGGCCCTTCACCACACCAGTCACCCTCCTTTGAATACTTTCCAGCCTATGAAGATCCTTCCTAAGATTTGGCACCAAGGGCTCAGCCCAGTACTTCAGATTCAGCCTGGCTAGGGAGTAGGACAGCAGGACCACCAGCTCTCCAACCCTAGACATTATGATTCTCTTAATAGAGCCCAAAATTGCATGTTTCTTTGGCTGAAGCATCACACTATGGACTCAGTAGGCTTGCAGTTCCCCATTCAATTTTAGTGGATGGAAGAAGCTTCCACTATTGAAACTTTAAAAAGTTGATCAATGGTATCAAAAGCTGAAAAGTGGTTAAGAGTAATAAAAGATAAGAAAAGCTCATTGGATTTAGAAATACTTGTTTTTGTGGTATGGATGAGGAAATAGTAAGGAGGGAGGTCCAGGGAGGTAGAGAGATTTACTTTGGGGATTAAGAATGAAACTAAGGCAGGGAAAAATTAATCCATGAGGTGATTTATGTTTCCTTCAATGTCAATTAGTTTTCTTCTGGACCTTTGTCTTTTCCCTGGCTCTTTACACTTTCAACCATTTTTACAGAGCATCTTTGCCTCTTCTCTCTGACTCTCTGTCCCTATCTTCTCTTTCTATTTCTTTCCCTAATTTTGTCAGTGTCTGTCTATCTCTTCTTGCCTTTGTCTCTGTCACTCTGTTTCTCTCTGTCTCTGGCTTTCTTCCTCTGGCTTTATCCCTCTGTCTCTCTCTGATTCTGTCTTTATCTTTCTGTGTCTTTGTCTGTCTCTGTCTTTTTCTGTCTGTCTGTCTGTCTGTCTGTCTGTCTGTCTCTCTCTCTCTCTCTCTCTCTCTCTCTCTCTCTCTCTCTCTCTCTCTCTCTCTCTCTCCCACCTCCCTGTCTCTCTCTCCCACCCTCCATATGCCCCACCTCTCTCATCACCTGGCAGTCAAAACTGAATAGTCTCGACAGCCAAAGGCATGTTTGTTTTGAAAGTCAGAAGTTTCACAATCCCCTCATAGAGTTCTCATTGTTTACATGGGAATGAATGAACTCTGCCTCCCAGCCCCACCACTTCAACTCCAGTTTTAACTGAAGTGATAATTAGGTTTCCAAGCCCACTGATGTCTCTAGTTTTTTTTTTATTTACATGAGACTGTTTGGCAGCTGAGGACTGTGAGTTAGGAACCAGAAAACTTTAAAAGAGGACCAAATAGTCATAGTTAATTTCAAAATTACTTTTATTGAGTTACAAAATAGTTGCTGGGAAAGTTATTATTTAACCATTTACTATAGCTGGCTTGTGTGGGTATAATTTTTGCTAAGCACTTTCACACACATTATCTCCTCACCACCCAAGGACAAATATTATTATTCATATTTTACAGATAAAGAATTTCAGGCTTTTTGAGATTTAGT